TTTATTATTATGTTATTATGTTTTATTGTTTATTTATTATTATGTTATTATGTTTTATTGTTTTTTTATTATTATGTTATTATGTTTTATTGTTTATTTATTATTATGTTATTATGTTTTATTGTTTATTTATTATTATGTTATTATGTTTTATTGTTTATTTATTATTATGTTATTATGTTTTATTGTTCTTTTATTATTATGTTATTATGTTTTATTGTTTATTTATTATTATGTTATTATGTTTTATTGTTTTTTTATTATTATGTTATTATGTTTTATTGTTTTTTTATTATTGTTATTGGAAGGTGAATAACCCTACCCTGGGAAGGCACTTTTATGGGATGATTGTTCAATAATTGGATATGGCGTATATTCCGATTATGGTATGATAATCCATCTTATATAAATTATCCTTCGGATTTTTTAAATACCAGTACAATCTTATAAATTCATATTTTCACATGAAATCTACTCATTGACTCGAATTTGTTTAAAAAATTTTTTGTTTTAAAATTATTTTCACTTAACCAACTGATAGCATTATTGTTATTATATATAATTTAACAGCAACAAAATCAAATTTTTTCAGCTAATGCATAGAATGTGATAAATTGTGTGGATATTTGAATGAAATTATTCATTTTCAGATATGTACATTATCGGAAGATTCCGCATGTCGTAATTTGGCTTTTGCTAATAATGCGTTAGATCATACAAATTACTTTGCCGTAAATGCGGATACGTATTTGTCGAAGGAATGCAAAGGTGATTTGTTGAGGATAATTGGTAATAGGAAAACAGCAAAAGTAAAAACAGCAAAAATAAAAACAGCAACTTTAACTGGTTTTGGTACTACTGATATTGCAACTACTGATACCAATACTTCTGATTATGAAGATAATAATATAAATACTATTACTAATAGCACTTCTAGTGATGCTGATACTGTAACCAACGCTGCTCATGCTATTGTTACTGGTGCTACCACTCCATCTGATGTTGCTACTACTGTTGTCGATACTAATACTACAGCTGCTGATACTGATACTACCGCTGATGATATTGATACAGTTACTGTTGTCGATGCTGATACTACAGATGCAGTTGCTGAAACTACTGCTGCTTATGCTGATACTACTGCTGCTAAAGCTAATACTACTGCTACTTATGCTGATACTACTGCTGCTAAAGCTAATACTACTGCTGCTTATGCTGATACTACTGCTGCTAATGGTAATACTACTGCTGCTTATGCTGATACTACTGATGCTGATGCCGATACTGCAGCTGTTGATGCTGATACTGCAGCTGTTGATGCTGATACTACAGCTGTTGATGCTGATACTACTGCTCCTGATGCTGATACTGCAGCTACTGATGGTGATAGTAATGTTGTTGGTATTGATACTACAGTTGCTAATGTTGATACTAATGCTACTACTATTGCAGTTTCTGACACCACTACTACTGGTGACGGCATTATTTCTACTATTTCTAATACTGTTGTCGCCAAATGATAAACACTTCTGAAAGTGTCCCTAAATGATGTATATAGCAATGTTGAAGTCAATTTTAAATTATAAATTTTCAAAAAGGCAGATATTTGATGGTTTGTATTCCAGCATTAAATTTGTGAATAAGGAATACCGCCGAAAGAATTGCTAATTGCTAATTATGATACTTTATAATTTATTTGGGTAAAAAAGAGAAAAAATAGTGGAGAAAGGAGTCGATTTTAAAACAATTATGATCAAAAATTGACTAATTAAAATCATTATACCGAATTCAATAAAATTCTCTCAGGTATATTAATCGAACGCCAAAATCATTCCTCATAATCCTCACTGAAATAATATCAACAGTATAAACTATTCCTTCATGATATTGCTTTTGTAATTACGCATTGATGATAATTTTACTTATTTGAATTAATTAGGCAAACATTCTAGCCAAAAATTATGATACAAGCAAAAAAAGCCTTTCAACCTTAGGTTGAAAGGGTATCATCATAACATGATATATAACAATTTGCATATACGTTGATAAATGATATACATACATCGATTCGTTATATGGAAAGCAAATGGATTTAAATATTAATGGTTAAATAAGAAATGGTAATGAAACTATAACGTAATCAACGTGAAGCTTATCAAGTTCATATATCGCACTTGTAATGGAAAAAATATTGGACACACGCGGAAGAACGTAAAAATAACATGCAAATAACGCTTTTATATTGTTGAATCGCATTATTTCTTACTATGTGTTTAAGGAAGGAATGCTTTCTTAATAGTAAGGCAAAATACATATAATTTTAATTGCTTACCTTTTATTTCATTTAATCCTTCATTTTTAATCGTTTTTTACTTTATATATGTTTTGTACTCATTTTCGATCAAAGAAATTGTATTTAACAAAGAGTAAAAAGTTTTAGTAATTTTGAAAAGGTGTAGAATGTATAATGTCAGTTTGACTTAGAACCTGCTGGCACACATGCAGTAGAATAATGAATGATTCGAGCGATTTCTTCAAAGATATAAATGATTATCAAAAACTTACAATAACAAATCAAAATAAATTATCCAAGCTAATCTAGATAATTAAATGAAAAATTGCTAAAGAAATCAACGTGAACCATCTTTTGATCTTTTGATGTTCGATAAAATGCCAAAGAAGTAGTTTCCTTACGAATTGACCAATGAATGCATTACGAATTTATTAATGAAGGCCTTACGAATTGATCAGTGAAAAAATCACTGTGTGTGATTATCGTATTCGTTTATTTTACATAATAATAAATCATTTTTCGATCAATATACGACAAAAATTCAATTATACACTATACCTGATGATATCGAATCATCATCGGATGATTTAAGAAAAGCTATTTAGAGCCAAAGTAATATCAAAAAATTAGGAAAGGGTCATTTTTAACATTTAATGATGTGATATTATCATACCATCAAATATCATGTTTTTGACTTGTAATGAAATCATTAAATCTGTGAAGTATGACTGAAATGTACTGAGAACTAAAACATTTTCCTAATCATAGCTGATCGAATAAAATAAAAAAAGAGAAAGAACAATTTATTTATTCATTATTTATTCATTGATATGTTTGAATGTAATTAAATTCCTTTTATATTTGTGTTTTGCTTTTATTCTTTCTTTTTGTTTTTGTTTGATTAGATGTGAAAAAAAAGAATATCAAAGGTAAATTATATTGCAACTCTTCCAAAATATCATTCAATACAGTTTCTGTAATAATTAAAAATTAATTTTAAATGATTTCAAAGGATAGCGAGCGTTTTTGAACGACATTATAAAAGCTTTTACAATTATGCTTTTTATTTTCTCATTGGAATATTTTGGTTAGCGAAGTGATTATTAAGCGCTTCATTAACATTTTTCCCATTATGATCGTATTCACTTAGTACCATTATGGTCGTTTTCACTTAGTAATTTTAATAAAATAAATCTAGTTGGAGTGGTAAACGGTCGAACCATTTGGTCCAATTTATAAATTAGTTAGATTACCGATAAATTATATCATCACTACTTTAATTAGTGAAAAATTAGAATAATTAAGTTAGAAGAGAATCTTAATTAAAAGAACAATTTCTCATTACTTTTAATAAGATAAACAAAATCAAAATTCAACAAATTTCAGAGTTTAATGATAAAATTGTCAGTTAAAATTTCAAAAGAAAATTACGATTCATATTCAAATGCTAATCTATAGCATCCTTGTTCTTGGATTATATCATACGAAAAGAATAGAATTTTCAATTATCATCTCTCTTTTCCTTTCGTTGTTTGACAATCTATTGCTTGACCAAAGGTAACTAATTAATTCTTATAATCAACAAATAATAATAATAAAAGTAAGAATGAAAAACTATATTTAATACCATAAAACTGATTCTATTTGCAAACCATTTCTGTATAATAATTGAGTGGAATAGTTAAATTTGAATGTATTATTCAACAATCCATCAAATAGCACATATAATTTGGAAATTATCAGATTAAACTCAATTACATATTTAATGAAAAGTAAATAATAGTTTGTCTTTCAAAAAAAACGAAAAAAAACTGAAGAGATTATTTGCAATTAAAAATTGCTGTAAAATTTAATTTGTTTATTTTATGTACAAACATAATTAAATTATACCATTTGATAAATTTCAACCATTCAATTAGTACTCATTTATTTTTTCATTTAAGAATAGATTACTAATTAAATGATGAAAATTTTCTAAACTGAAAAAATCGATTAGTAATTCAATGGTGAAATTTAATACAATCGATATGAATATGATATGTGGGAAATTGTCGATATTTCCTTTTTTCCCCTCCCCCCGAATGATATTGATAATCGTTACTGTAATATGATTCTTTTTTCTTTTCATACTTTATACATAATTATATCTCAATAAATTGAGATATACTTACTTATTAGGAAATGATTCGATTTAAAGATGTAATACATGAAAATTAATTATTCATTAAAAGTAAATCAAAAATTTCCTAAATTTACCATTTCACTTTGAAATGGTTATCGTATGATAAGTAAATTGATAAATTAAAATTATCGATTGATTTATAATTTATTCTTTTCTATCTTTGCATAATTTTTTCATACTTTTTTTCCTTTTTAATATAAAAACTCTTTTTCGGATTTATACACATTATTTCATACAACCGAATTACATGCTAAATTGAATTTGTCTGTAAAATTCGATTGCTGACATATTTATTACGGTTCCTGACAAATTACTTTTTTCTGCTACTTTTAATGTTGACATAATTTGTCGGATATAATATTACCGTATTAATCTGATTTCCGGATTAAAAGAGGAAAAATAAAATGAATATGGACAGAAATTGTTTTAAATGATCAAAATTTCATAAATTTCATTCGTATTCTTAATAGTTATAATGAAAGCATAATAACTGAATCAAAACCGGAAATATTCAGACTACTTCGTATTGCGTTGATTTTCTGAATTACATCAATATACTGCTATCCAAAAAATCGGTCGACCGATATCATGCCATTCATTTTATTATATTATTTAATGAATTTCATATTTTAATGACCTGGAATATTTAGACTGCTATTGTTTTCGAGGTAAATTAGCATTAATTGCCAGCATTGCTGCAATATCCTTATGGCTGGCTTATTATAGTATTTAAAAAACATTTTTCTTCCTTTAAAGCAATGAAATTTTTGCAATGCTTTCAAATGTTAATTATAGATTCTTTTGTTTAATATACATGAAAGAAATGAAAACATCGAAAACAATAAGAAAATGAAATTTCTGAAATTTCAGCTTTATTATTATCTAAAAAATAAATGAATGAAAGTGAACAAAAATGGATCAGAATATGTAACACAATTAATGTATAGTTAATTTTCTTATCTGTTTAATTTTACCTACAATTTTACCATATTTTACACTTAATTCAATTAATTTTCTTTTTATTTTCAAACTGGTTTTTCTTTCTTCTCAATTTATTGTTATATATTTATGTGTAAAATTTTGTTTTATTCTTTAAAATTATTAAAGTGAATGAAGTCTGATTGGTTTAATTGGATTAAATTAAATGGAATTATTTAATAAAAGTTTGAAATGTTTTTCATTGTAATGTTCCTAAGATCAACAACATGCCATAACATATTCAATATAATTTTAGCCGGAATGATTTGTTTCCGGAAATGTTTTCTACATGAAATTTTACTGTGTGGCAATTTTTGTTCCATTTTTCTTTTTTCTCATTTAACAACAGAAGTATTAATCTCAATCAATATTTGATCTAATCAATAAATATGAGCGGTTAAATCACGGAAGTTCTAAATTTTATGCTAATTTCAACTACATTATTATCAGAAGCGATTCGGAATTGAATGTATAATTCTGATATTCCTTTTGTTAAAAGGAGCTGTCAATGATTTAAAATTATCATTCCTATGAATATTACAATCTATCACAGTTTAAATATACCTAAAAACTTAGCTGATTTATAGATGAAAAAAGAAAATCGTATGAAATTGCAATTTTAATTAATAGCTTTCACAAATATACTTAATAAATTTTTTGCAGCGATACTGAATATCTTTCTTCATTGAAAGTTTTTCTCCTGAATTTTATTGAAATAAATGAGCTATCAACTGTCAAATTCTATTATTTTTCAAATATATCTTTTAATAATTAAATTATTTTTTACTTTCGCGAAAGAATTTTTTTCTAAATCTTTTTTCTCAAATTAAATTTCAAAAATTAAAATTTTCAGCAAATTCGAAACTATGTGTTTTCAAAGCAAGAATTTAAACTGTACTTTACTTAAAATTTGATGTTAATTGATTCTCAAAAATAAGTTACTATCAATTTAACTGTTTAGTTTAATAAAGGATGAAATGTTAATTCAATTATTGCATAATAACTACTTCAGTTTTTCTTGCTGATTATGATATTTTTCATTATAACGATTATTATGGTAGCAATAAAGGATGCAACGTTTGATAAATACCAAAATTCATTGTATTGTATGGTTTAGTTACAGTTTTTTTCACCGCGATATACCAATGTTATTCTTTTTGACAGTAACATTTGCGGTACATTCGTATTCATCGTTTGTATTATTATATTTATCGATTAGTTTAATGCAAATCTATTTAAATGAAGAGATTTACAAATGAATTCAACTTTGTAAGATACACGGGACGAAATAACAAATTCCAAAAGTTCGAAAGCATTTATATTTTATTGCAGGGTTTTTATCAGTACTTCATGCAAAAAGCAACTGATAAAATGATAGACACATTTTAGACGAAATGAATGAGAAAATGAACGAAGTAATAGCAAAAATGAAATTGGACTGAAAAGTGACACTTGTGAAATCAGCGAACGCATGAACACTTCAGAGAGTGATGACATTGATTTCGTGACAATAAATTTCCGAATGAAATTGTGTGCTGCGATGTATTGCGACGTTTTTTAAAAGACCATTTCATTATACAATTAATCTATTCATAATTTAACTTTCTCAATCACTTATAGTTTAAGCTTTTTCCATTATATTTATCACCATTACATCTTTGATAAAATGATCTAAACATAGAACTATCGCAATGATCAAAAGGTCATTAGTTTCATCTTTACGTCTAATACTTCTTCACCTTGAGAAAAATTTCAAGTTTAATTTATAGCAAATAAATATCACAAAATATTCCTCAATTAATCGTAAGAAATTTATCATCATATCATACATTGTCAGTATAATTTATCATCGTATCATGCGTTATCAGTACGATTTATTGTCATATCATACATTATCAGTATGGTTTATTATCATATCATACATTATCATTATATATGAGTCTAATTAATTGTTTTCCTCTCAATCGTTTATCTTTTTAATTTCTCATATTTTGATCTATTTTTCATGGCAAACATTAATGAAATAATATTAACTCTTAATTTTACTTGTTAATTATTACTTGTTAATTTCATATTGCTAATTGTTAAATTTAAATAGGTGGAAGAATCAAAATCAGCAACTGCTCGAATGCTCGCAGCTTTCTTCATTATGTTTACTTTACCCACTCATCAATATTTCTTTCAAAAATAAATAAATAAATAAAGAATGACAAAATAAAAGAATTGTATTTTAGCTTGGAATTTTCTTTTGCCATCAAAATTTTTACTAATATACGTATGTCAATGTAATCTTAATCCGAAAACTTAATTTTCTGAGATCTAATTTCGAATAATTTATCATACCGATTTAACGATTTATACTAATATACGTAATTTAAACTAATACATATATACGCATGGTAAACCATCCGAAATTAAGATTGCGGAATAGAATAGATTATATTGGAAGTGATAAAATACCGATTATATACGCTTCATATCATAATTCATAATCAGCTGATATACAGCAACACAATTAGTAATTATTCAAAGACTTATAGCATTACATTAAACGACTTGACAGTTCAGTGTGTGCAACTGTAATTTCCAATTTGATAAATAAAATTATCACAATGTCAATATTATTTTTCAGGTGTGATATGCAACACATTCTTTAAACTTGTCATATTACAGTTGATCTGATTATGTTGGACTATTTCCGTCCAGAAAATTATGAGAAAAAGAAGCAAAAAGAATAATTCAGATGATAGTATTTTATATGAAAAAAGGCTTCTACCGTACTTTTTCACATATTTTTCCTTTTCTGTCATTTAGCGGTAACTTTTTTGGTATTTACACGATGAAAAAAGCATTTTTCATTCATTTATTCCTTACTGATAATAATTCAATTCATTTTAATTTTATTTTATTATGCGACAATTCCTTATATAAAATGCTCATACAATTAACAATAAATTATCTTACATTAATAACAAAATAACTAAAATGATCGGACGATAATAACTAATCTTATATTTAACAGTATATCTAATATTACTAACTTTCCTTGAATAATTTCACCTTTCTGGAAAGAATTGTAAAATACCCCTTAATAAAAGTTATCAGTCGATAGAAGTCGTCATTTTCACACATTATTACACCTATTCATCCACAATGTTCTTCTACATTAGTCTGGAATTATTGTCTTCGGCTAATCCGGAATTAGTTGGTTTTTGGCCAGTTTAAACGTGAATTCCTTTCTGGTTTCTTCAGTTCGAAGTCTTTAATTTGTCGTTCAATCTAACTTTAGGCATATAGGGATTTCAGGTACGTCGCATGCAACACGGATATAATCCTATTTGGTCTACGGAGGGAAATTTGTTGGTGGTAGTTTGGTACGAAAGCCCTGACTTGACCTGATTTGACCTGAGATGGTGTATCAACGAGGGGGCGAGCTGTGATCTAACAAATCCTGCACGACTTATTATGATGAAAAGTTGAGAATTTTTGTTAGTGATTTGAGATAAGGTGAAATAAATCAATGATTATACTTGGGATAAAGTGAGAAGATATTTCCGTCTCGACGAGATATGGTATTAAAAAAGAATTATATGGAAGTTAGTAAAGTAATTTGTAGAGAGGTGGTAAAGTTAAATATGTCACCGTGATTTGATAAGAATTTTTTAAAAAATGATTGCCTCTTGATAGACTTCACAGAGTAAGTAATGTGTAAAGAAATAGATTAATTTTGGTTTATGTGAAACTTTCGGGAAGATTTATGGCATAGTCCAAAATCAAGTGAAACCTGGACAGTTATGGTATGTGTGGGAGGTAGTTTTAATGATTTTATCAATTTCAGGCATTCTGCGTTGTCATCCGGCTGCATGATTTGATTTGTACTTTTAATTTTTTTTTCAGGATTTTAATTAACATAAAAATTACTCAGGAATGTGGCTATAATGGAAGCTGAAATTGAAGAGCTCAAGTAAGATTACCTTGCAGATTTCCGTGAGGTCTGCCTTCTAGATTTCCACAATTTGACTCTTACGTATATCTTATTGATTTATGTAAGATATTGAGTAAGGAACATTGTGGATTTTCATATAGTCAGGTAGAAATGTTTTATAAATCTTAACAAGACTTCAAGTACTGTAATTTTAAGAGTTGAAGATTTTTATATTAATTATACAATTTCAGGAATTGAAGTTTTTTATATTAATTTTATAGTTTGGGTAACATTTCTTCGCACATAGCGTATTTACAACGTCTGCCTCATTAAAAATTTACTAGTGCACAATCTCTGGTATATCCTTATGTTTTGCTTCAGTAAATCATAGTTACAGGCTGAAATTAAAGGAATCGGAATCAAAACAAGTAGCCATTGCCCAGTTGGCGAAAGAGATATTAGAAAAGGATAAGGATAAGGATCAACGCCTGTCTACGCTTGGTGAAGAAAATCTTCAACAATCTAGGGTGTGCTTTTGCATTTACCTCGAATTTCCTTCCCTTTCTCAAAATTAATTTGAGGTATTTGATCTACTTACATTTATGTTTCATTCGTGCAGACTTTGAAAGTTATAAGTTTTAACTATGTAAGGGATCGATCATGTTGATTTGAATATTTTATCGAATCGGAAATCACCGAAGTAATAAATTGTCATTTATCAAATTATAATTTCAGGATATTTCCCGGTTACAATCGTTGTTGAAAAATCGAGATGAATATCTGGCTGATGCTGAAAGTGAAGTGACAAAACTTCGCAATGAAATTATTCAAATAAACGGTACCAAAAGCACTTATTTGGTCGAACTCGAACAAAAAATGCTTCATCTTCGTTCCGAGGTTTCTTATATCAGTCTTTTATAGAGTGAAGTACTTCCTTTCTCGTTATTTTTTTCTGTCTCACTCATTATTAGCTTACACAGTACAGCCATTTCGAGACTACCATATTCAGTATACCAGTATATGTTGGCGTATTCTGATATACTTATGTTCATCCACTTAAAGTTTGGTTAAGTTAGCCTTTGCCATTGATTTTCTTGCTTTCTTATTTATTTGTTTTTTCGAATTAGTATTCTTTACTGCATATAAAAAGCAGTAAATTGTTCATTGTGTACTTTTGGTTGTAATTTGTCAGTTTATTTGATGTTGTGGTCGCGTGGTTTTCTAACTTTTTATAAGTGCTTTAATTTCTCATATTTTTTCGAAGATAGATCTAATCATTAGATTCACATTCCTGATTTTGACGATATATTTTGGAAGCAGTAACATACAGATAAACGAAAAAAATGGCATGCTGTTTGATCAAGAGCAAGAAATACAAGAACTGAAAAAGGCATTGGCATCGAAAGAACGGGAATTGGAAAAAGCATCACAAAAATCTGAGCTGTCGACCAGTCAAATACGCGACAGTTTATCTGATTCTGAGCGAGCGAAGTTGAATGAGAAAATGGTCAGCCTTCTACTTGAACGATTACTTTCTTAATATGCCAAAAATATACAACAGATGAGAAGTGTTTGTTATAAAGTATTTGGTTGTTTAAATTTGTAAGTCGTTAAATTTCTTTGGTTTTTTTCAGGCAGAGATGGAATTGGAAAGGAATTTGATGTTAGACGAAATTTCACAGCTGCAAGATAAAATAGTCATGATTAGTCGGAATTTGGACAATGAACGAAGTCATGTTGAGGAGCTTTCAACGATATGTAATGGTTACAGACATGATGTCGAGGTTATCTTCCACTTTTTTACTTCAAAAATCGGTTGTAATTTGATTGTAATTTGATTTTACCGAAGAAATTTGTATTAGATAATTGATTTTATTTTTTGGCATGTCTTATTTCATGGATAATTTAAAGGAATTAAAGAATCAGTGTAACGAATTAACTTCCGAGTTGAACGAATATCGCAGTAAAACAAAGATCGCAAAGAGGGGGAACTCAATGTTTTTTGAAGTGAGTTGAGTTTGCTACTGATTTCTGTAAAGCAAAGATTTCTCATAATTCGAGCTTTTAAAGGCATTATTATAATATCATTCTTGAGATCGTTTGCGGATTTTCTGGTGACGTGGTACCATTGTTGTCATTGTTATTTTAGGCTTCGTTTTAGTTTGTTGATGAAAGGGTCAAACTGGAAAAAGATCTCCTAAAGCTGAAATGCCAGAATGACTTTTTTGCTAGTCAGAAAGAAGCATATGAGTTGGAATTAAACGAGCTGAGACACGAATTGATGCTTGCATTGACCTTACATACTAACGAAGGGAATGTTGGTAAACGATTGTTTAATGCGAAATGTTTAATGAAATATTGCTTTAAGGTAGGAGAGGTGTCCGAGTTTTTATTTGATACTCCTGAGAAAAGTAGGTTATTTTTTTTGTGTGCATGTCGGTTTTTATGGTTTTTGAATGTTGTGCACTGTTAAAATATTGTATATACGGGATACCAAAAATGCAATCAAATTATGTCGTATTTGTTGTTTTCTGGTGCAAGTGAAAGGTTTACTTCATAGTATTTTCATTTGCTGATATTGACCCACTCTATGTTGTAAAATTTCATTATTCACTTCTATCCCAATTCATGATATATTTAAGGCGGTGATACGAGTATGTTACAACTGGAAATTTCTCGTTTACGCACTGAACTAACAACGCTTAACGCTAAGTTACTGGAAAAATGCAAAGAAAGCGTGGAAGTTGAGACAGGGACTGTTTCAAATACTTTGGAGATGATTGACTTGAAAGAATATGCTTTTAACAGTTTGAAGTCAGTTTTCTTTTTTATCGTGTATCTCTTTGCTTATAACCGTCTTTGACAAAATGAGAAAAAAGAATGTGGGAAGAAAATTGTCTGACTGTTTCCTCCATAGCAAACATGTTAGCAGGAATGCAAAATGTTTGCTAATCATTTGGATTAATAATTCTAATTAAAGTAATTTTAAAATTGTAATTGACAGGGCATACAATAAGTTTTCGAAATTGAAATTTCCGAAATTTTATAATGAAACCAATAAATTCATAGTTTTAATAATCTCTTCGATCAACTCTATTACAGAGAAGAGGTGAAAATGTTATCTCTAAAGTTAGAGAGAGCAGAGAAGGAGCGCATGGAATATTTTGATAAAGTTCGGGAATCTGAGAATCGATATTCGGAAGAACGTAGACGTTCCCAAAAACTTTTGAATGAAGTGGAATGTCTGAAAAGACGATTTATACTGGAACAGAAGAAAAGTTTTAATTGTGCACTTTCGAAAGCACTCAAGCCTTCGAAAGGTTCTTGTCTATTTCTTAGAATAATAGTCCGATCTCAAGACCTCGATGACCATTTATCACTCATTCCGAATTGTTAACCGATTGGCGAGACACTTCCTTTTCTTTTAAATACACTTTGTCGAGTTAATTGAAAGTCTGGGAGTTTTAAATAGGAATCGTTCTTTCATTTCATATTGAAGTCAAAATTGTTTTTTACTTTGAGTTTTTTTCATGATTCATTCAACGAATATCATTTTACATAGCGTGGGATTGTTTATTTTGATCTTCTTTATTTAGCTTAGTATTATTGGTGATTATTTTAGAAATTCTATCAGAGAAGATTACTGATTTCAACGAAAAAATTGCTACCATTAATCAGATTGATGCAGATGATCCAACTATCAGCGAAATGCAAAGCTCATTTGCACTGTCGAATTGCTCTCTAACAACTGCCAAACCTCCGTTAAGGGATGAAGAAATCGCGAATGTTGCAAGTGGTATTTTTTTCTTTTGTTTTAAATTTCATACGTTTTTAGAAAATAGAAATTCTTATCAAATCGTTTATAGATTTAGATATGCCTAAGTCGCTCTATGGCTATCTTTTAGGCACCACGATGCCTCGATTGGATATTTATGCGCTATTCATATTTTGCGTTAAAAATATAACTGGCTGTTTTCCGAATTGCTGTTATAAACATATGAAAAAAATAAAATTTTTAATTCATTCTTTAATATTAATTTGAAATTGTTAATGGTAGCTATTTGTGCGATTATGCTAAAACTTTGCATCTCGCAGTCAGGCAAACTAACCTGATAAAGATGGCATACATTTTCGCTTCATAGGGTCAGTAGATTGCAGTTTTCTAACCTTGCGTTAATTAATTTCAAGGAATACGAACAATTTCTACTGAATCAGCATCTAATATTGATCAAAATGAAACACCGAATTTGTTGTCAGAGTTAAAAACACGACCAAATACAAGTGATAAGGAAATGCCTGTTGAGAAGCGGTTGAAATTTCAGGTTTGTCAGTGCTGACATATTTGTTGATTAACATATAGGATATGTTTGTATTTAAATCTCTTTAGAATGGTAGTAATTAAACAATAATTTTCTTAAAAAAAATAATTTGAAAATCAGTTACCTCTCAGTTTACAGCCTTTTGCCTTATAAAACTTAAATCCTTTAAGGCTAGTTTTTGTACAATATCTTAGTATTCTTACGAGCATTTTTCCGGCAAAATTTTATAGTTGCTTGTTGCTCTTCCATCTACAATAGAGTTAAATGAACGGTTATAGCTTAAAAAAATGTAATTTTGCTTCATTTAGCTAAAAAAGTGTAGTTTTACTTTCATTTAAAGGAAAAGAGGTTTAGTAATCATTATCTTATAGCTTGCAATTTTGCCTAATAAAATTTAAACTTCTTTGGAGATTAATTTTTCAGAGTAAACTGTGAAAACATGTTTTTTTTTTTTTCTTTTATAGTTGTTTTTTTTCTAAGATGTTTTTTTTCTTTTATAGTTGCCAAACGAAGAATTTAGTCATTTGGCGCGGGATCGGGTTAAGGATGTACGTCCGAGAAGATCAAAACCAAAAAGAAGAATAATGAGAAGGGTTTGTTTGAATTTACTTGGGTAGAAGTTAGTTATTGAAGAAACAACACACAGAAAATAAGTCTGGTAATGCGAACTGTGATAGAAGAAATTTTGTTACCTTAAAAAGAAGCGGTTAATGCTCTTAGTTCCTAGCCAAGTACCCAAATAATGAAATTCCAAGATTTATGTTTGATCTTTGAATTAATTCATTTTATCTCTCAAAATAAAAGTCCTGAGATAAGTGAAGTCGATTGCAGTTAGTTTTTTTGGAAAATTAATTTCTTCATCAAGGTCGAAGAATAGTTCGCTCTTATTTTGCAATAATTTTGCAACTTCAGAATGTTATGTCAGTAATAGACATACGTTGATTTGTGTGTTAGTTGAATATTTATGATAGTTTTCGGTGAAGCTAAGCATTTTTAGGTATGCGAAGCTAGTGGTTTGTGAAAAGGAATGTCTATTATGATTAATTTTGTAAAGCAAGATTTGATAGCGCTCCTACAATTTGTTGGTGCTCTGAACTGAAGTTAATTTGGTAATGGAAGCAATGCGTGGTTTTGTGATGAAAATGTTTTGCTTCTAGTAGATTTCACTTTCCGAAAATTGTCTTCATTTGATCTCTATAGTGCAATTCCATTTGTATTTTTCTCCCTTAAGTAATTTCTGGATACTTTGGATATTTACTTTATACATATTTCATTAACATTCTTCTTTGTGTTATTCCTCTGAATATAATACTAACTTTCAGTAACACTCCGCTGTCGTAACATCAAATCTTTTTTTGTGCTCGATTGTTGTGAGTTGTATTTCAGAATACGCTTATTGTGTTACGTAATAGATGAAATAAAGTATTCGATATCCTCATCTCTTGTATTGCTTCCTGAGGATTCACAGCTATCCAATGTTCATTTTTTATTATATTTTAATATGTTTGAACTATTTCAAAAAAGTTCAGAAATAATTTACTGATCGTTACAAGCTAACTTTTTCATTTCATTTTCAAAGCAGCGACTTATGATTCCTTTGTTGGGAGAAATCTCGAGGCATCTTCTATATTTTATTTGTATATGTTAGCGGTCGATGTTCATTAATTCTATGCAATAGGAGGGTGATAATTTTTAGTGGGAGAGATCTGATCTGAGCGCTTCACATAAAGTTTTGTAATGGTTATCAGGCAGATCACGGTTGATTTTTCAATTTTTTCTGGAAGAGGCGAAATATTATTGCTTGGAACAATTATTCGCTTCCAAATTTTGATGTATGGTGTATGTTAGTAGAACAAATGATTGTTTCTAGGTAAATAACCTAATAAGAAAGGGAGACAATCGTGGATATTCTGATGATGGGCGAGAATTTGCATTACGCTGGTTGGTTTTTTTAAGCTTATATATGCATGTGGAAGGTGAAGTTATATGTATATACCGTTATATGCGTTTGATAATCATCCTGTGCTTCTGATTATATAAATGAATCAGGTTGAAGTAGACAGAAAACGTTTTTTTTCTAGTTTTTAATTACAAAACTATATGGCGGAAATGGTGTGATGGGTACCGCAGTGCCCACAAAATTTAATATTTCTTTTGCAGTATCTGTAGCAAAATATATGAAATCTTCTCTTTGAGATGTTAATTTGCAGTGCGTGGTTCCAATGGATTCAGTATTATTAGGGGTATTAGCTCACCTTCAAGGATATATGACAAGTCTGAGTAAGCTTTTTCTTTTTCTCTTTTGTTTTTGATTTTCCATAAACGTATCATATTATTCACCTAATGTGAAGTGTTGTTTAGCATAATCTAGGCTTCTTTCAGGGATCCCAAGTCGCATCCCTGTAGAGTATTTCAATTCAGTAATACTGGACAATATTTTTGTTACTGCGATACTGTCAGGTGTGTATTCATTTTTGCGTATATATCAGAACTCTCCAGCTACTCAGAATAGTTAATTTACGTTTACATAGCTGCAGACCGAACACAGTCGAGTATCAGCTTTTCAGAGGAGATTACTGGTATCATCGTAAACCATCTCAATTTGCGCATTATGATGTTAGAAAACGAAGTAATAAGAACATAATCATTGTCAGTATTTGGCAGTTCATGCAATTTTGCTGTAAAAATTCTTCTATTGAATGTAGTTTTCAGAACAGTTTTGCTGGAAAGTTCCACTGGAAGAGAAATATTTAATGTTGATTTACCGCGCACTCAGCAAATCGTCTTTTCTCCAAGGGACCGTCTATTGGCAGCATATGAACCATATGTTTCTTATGTTGCAAAAACGGTTTGTCCAACCAATTTTTGTTTTCTTGTTAATTTTATCTTAAGTTGTGTAGCAAATACTTTAAAGAAATGTAACTCATTGAAAGCAATTGTTAAAATGTAATTAATATAATTTGTCGACTAATAAAAGTTTACATTCGCATGACAAGATTCAGTAGTACCGATTAGTTCACTCGTTGGTAACTTGATTTAGATTGTTTATCATTAATAACATGATTATACGCTAAACATAATTTGTTGTGCAATGCCAGCTATACCAACAGATCAATGCACGAGCTAAGATCCCATGATTAGTGGCAAGCAATTAGTAATTATTACCTTTCATTAAGTACTTTTGAGCTATTCTATCACTATTCTTTCATTCAACTTCACTGTTTTTAACATTCACCAGTGGATTTATTTTTTTATAAATGCGATTATTGTATATATTCATTTCTAATTTTTACATTAATTTGTATATATAACATAATAACGCGAACAATCTGATTACTGCTGTGGTTTGGTGGGAGCATTCTGTATGCGAGGAGAAGGTGTTGAGTTCGGGTCCATATAATGCACATGAATTCTAGTGTGGGAATTTCGTCATTTCCTTCATACTTGGGAAACATGTGCAAAATAAAAAGGCTTTGATGTGAGCTCGTCCACGACCATTGTCGTTGTACGTGACTGTGAGCCGACAAATTTGTGTAATTCGCTAAAATGATTGTTCCCAAAAACATGGTTGTCGATGTTGTGGGAAGGTGGATAAAAGGCAATCGGGTGTCTTTCGTTGTGACAAATTAGAGAAGTTTGGATACGTATTCCTATTGAGGGACTTTAGTTTCTCATTTCACGGATTATTTATGGTGAACTGAATGTTTGTGGGTAATATTGAAACTACAAAATATTACATGGATCATCAACAGCTATTATTTTAGACTGAAAATATCGAACAACGACAACCAACACCAAATCTCAGGTTATGGTCTCTTCCCGACGGGAAGCATATCACTACATTAATTGCTCAAAAGCAGGTGTGCACACCTTAATCGCATAGCTAGTACTACACATCTTTGCAATCTTTTCTGTTCATAATTTATTTCCGTTTCTTTTTGTTCCTCTTATTTGCATGGAATCTGATATGACATGATCGGGATCAATAGCGGCAATAGATTTCTGAATTTTAGAACTCATGGAAAATTCAGTGGACTGATGATGAAGTTTATTCAATTCGTTTGGTCGGATCCGAAATTTTGATTCACAAATATAACTCATACGGTAAGATACTGCTATGTAGAATAAAGCTATCGGAATCATTCAGTTCATTTTTTTGTAATTCTCTACGAAGGAAACAATTGATTGATAATGTTATTACTTCTTCACCTTATGATTTTATTTCTGTTTGACAAAGATATATCCCAATATAGATCTATATTTTGCAGAGAAATATGAATCAAAACTAGTGATCCGAAATGTTGAAAGTTGCTCATTGAGCTCTGGGATGGAGCCACATCATCTTGCAGTATATATTCCTGCATCTGGTGGACAACCTGCATTGGTACAACTGAAGAGGTGAGAGAAAATATGTTAAGCTAAGAGAAAATATCCTTTTGTGTTTGTTGCAAAATTTCTATCCTTTAGCGGTTTTTTTGAGACCCTTGCTAGCATACGTTTCCAAAAATTTATTTTTCAAAAAGTGATATCCGTTTTTCAGTTAATCAAATATTTCAGGTTGGATCACAAATTCACTACTGTGGCCAGCAAAACTCTCTTTAAATGCGACAAAGTTAATTTGTTGTGGAGTTGCAAAGGTTGCTGTTAGCTTTTAACCTACTCGTTAATTCTCATTCGGTACAACCTAAGTAATCCTATATGAATTTTTGTGAGAAAGATTCTCTATTTTCTTGAAAATCCAATTCTCGTTTCAGTTATCCATGAATCGGATTACCTGATCTTGGTTTGTCATGAAGTGGCATTTTTTGTCTAGTTATCTTAATTTCTAAATTGTGCTAAAGAAGAATGGTGAACTCTAAACATTTATAGTTTATTTTTAAAAGTACCGTGAACACTTCAGGAAGTGCAATGATAGTAATGGCCATAGTGGATGTTGACACTTCAAATAAGAGTTACTATGGTGAACAGAATTTGTATCTTGTGGCAGTAAATGGTGATAGTTGTGCTGTGCCGCTAGAAAAGCGTGGACCAGTCTACTGCGCTAAATGGAGTCCTAGCGGGAAACAGTTCGCAGTTTGTTATGGATTTATGCCTGCTCGGGTATCTTTACTTTTTGAAACTTTTTCAGCTAGCTATTACAAACAACTTCGAAGAGTGGTCGCTCCAATTAGCCCTATGTTATCCTTATGTTATTTTAGGTTACCTTATACAATTTGAAATGTGATCCAGTTTTCGACTTTGGAGAAGGCCCACGAAATGATGTCTATTACAATCGATTTGGAAATATCTTGATACTTTGTGGTTTCGGAAACATTGCAAGTGGCCGTATGCAATTTTGGGATGTTGAAGCTCGACGTGAAATTGTTACCGTATGTTTTTTTGAAGCTTGGATTCACTATTGCCTTTTCTTAATTGAATAAGAAGATGCATTTTGCACTTATCTTTTTTTTGTGTCTTCTGTCTTCCGGTTTATAATAACATTGTCTAGATGGAAGCACCAAATACTACATTATTGGAATGGGCACCAGACGGTCAGCATTTGATGACTGCTACTACTGCCCCAAGACTTCGGATCGATAATTGCTTCAGGATATGGCACTACAGTGGTCGTTTGCTTTACGAAAATCGTTATGATTCTCCTTCTGAGTTATGGCAGGTATTCTCTATTTTTCTATTTTTTGTTATTTCTTAAATGTAACTTTCATCAGCTGCTGATAGCAAACACACTGGTGCTTTTCAAATGGATGCTATTTAGCTGATTATGGGGAAGTTTTTGTTCATGATTGCATGTGAGATATGGTAGCACCATCGTCTATATGAATTGTCTTAATGAACCTAGCGCGTAATTTCCTAACTTTATTTTTAATCAGTGAAGATAGGGCAAAGGCCAGTTGCATGATTAAACCTGTTCTCTGCTGTGATCTTGTTAGGTAAAATACAGTAAAATTATCTGTTTCGTTTTACGGCATTTTTTGCACTTTATACGTTGTTACTCTTTTTTTTTTTGAAGTGACTCCTTAGATACGAAATCTGTCCACGACAAAAGGTTTATAAATTATATTTTCTAACATACTGTGAATTAGATCATATTTTACAGGTACAATGGCGTCCTGTTCCTGGAAACATTTACCATTCCTTTTCGATTCCAATTTTGACAGTTGAAGACAAAGCAAAGGCTGGTTTACTGGTGCAAAGGAAGAACGTAAGCGATGAACACCCAGCTAATAATTTGTCAGTTGGCGCAATCAGTAAAAATGGAACTTATGTGCCTCCGCATTTGCGCAAAGGTGCATTAGGTTTGTTGAAACACAGTCTTCTTATTTCGACATGGATAATTGAAGTTATAACAAGACAAATTGTACATTTTTTCCTTCATTCTGTTTAAAAAGAATGTTCCTGTTGCTTGCTTTTTATAGAAACTTTATATAGTTTTGCAAATAAGTTTAGAATATTTTAGTTTCGACGAAGAATGCCTCAAAAATGGCGGTATCGTTTCCAAGTTCAAAAGCTCCATTGTCTGAAAAAGAGAAAAGGGTAGGAAATGATGTTATTCCTCTAATTCATTGACATATGTATAATAAAGTATAGAACCATGATCTGTGTCTTTGATTAATGTATAATAAAGTATACAAATGAATAAAAGACATTTGGTAACATTATAAATGTAAATGAGTGGAATGGAATGGGACATAAGATGAGTAGATAGGTAAATATAGAGTTGTTAGATTCGCAAATAATTAATGTCTATTTTGTGCATAACATTTGTGGGAGTAATAAATAATTTAAGAATAACTAGTCTCTTTCAGATACGTGCATTGCAAAAAAAGATCGATGATATTGAGAAGCTAAAGAAACGGAAAGAAAGCGGGCAACCTTTGGAAGCAAATCAGATCGCAAAAATTGATAAAGAAGATGAGATTATTGAAGAATTAGAAAAATTAAAAGTTGCCTAAAAATTACATTTGTTTGGATTTCTTCTTGGATAGTTGTTTGAGAAAAAGTAGACCATTTTTTTCAAGGAAAAGATTTAAAAGTGGTCCTGCGTTGTTTCGGAATTTTTTTTGTCATCTGTCAGTCATATCGAAATATCTGATTTACGCTGGTTGCATTTGCTGTTATCAAAATATGAATAAAATTTTAAATGTGCATGTTTTTGTTATATAGCCTGTTATATTCAAAAAAAAGCTTTTACCATATTTTCGTTATCTGTGTTCCTTATTATACATGTCATCATCCACAAAAATAGGTTGCCGAGAACTATAACATGATAAATTACTAGACAATCCTGATAGTGTGAAGTACTCTTCGAAATTGTAGATTAGACTAACTGGATAGTTGTGTAATAGACTTGTTGGACGCAGGAAAAAAATCATCCGTTGATTGGTGGGCGAAGTAATGGGTGTTCCGATATCGTTAGGTGTTATTGTAACAACTTTCATTTTTGTTTGTTGTAATACCATTATCCATTCATTGGTGGTATTTCAAATGACCCAAATAAACTGTGGTTTGTCAATTTCATTACAGGGTTGTGCCTACGAAAGCATACTGAGATTACGTTTTGGTGGCGTCATGGGCAGATTACCTGGTAGTAAAAGCAAGCTCATAAAGAACACAGTGAGTACTGATGAAATTAGTGTGAAAGGTAATTGACTTTCTTAAATCGTTCGTGAAAGGATTAATCGATTCTGCAATTTTAAATTTTGTAATAATACCTCCTCTTTATTTCGTTATACACATATTCGAAAACTTTAATCAGCTACTATCGGTATTTGTAATGGTCCCCACGAATGACAATTTTCACAGCTAAAAATTCTCGACTCTTTAAAGTGAGAGTCTAATTTCCTCGAATAAAGTAAATTGAATACGGAAGTACATCTTAAACCAAATCTCTCAAATTTGGCTAACAGATTATTTTATAATTTTCTTTTATTATTTTGTGTTCCTGTTAAATAGCAAATATGCTTGGATTGAGAAGTAACTTCGAAAATTTGCTTTAAAAATTGGTATAGAATTGCACTGTTTCTTTTTAACAATATGCAGTACTCAATGTACGATTTTTGTAGGCAACAAGCGATCTTATGTACGTCAACGTAGAAAACTAAATAGGCGACAGGAGCAACCGTGTACATCTAATCAAAAGGTTATTCAGTGCTGTTTAATGATTTTTTTTGCTAGGTATTCATCTACTTATGTATAAGATTAAATGGAATGCTGAGACAGTACAAGGATTTATGAACTTCGAAACCTCGAAAGAATATGAACTTTGAGAAGCTCGATGAATCATTTCTTCTTTCAGAAAAAATTTTTTGAATGATGTTTGGAGCTTCTTTAGAATTATTTTACTAAGTGATACGTTCTTCAGCCGAAATTGGCATGCAGTCTACTGGAAAAGCTAACGAAGGAGGTACAGACATTGTCTATGGAAGTTGTCGAGTTTGAAAGAAGAGCACAAGATCGTTATCGTAGTTTAATTGATGAAAATATTAGTCTGCGGAAACAAGTTAACGCTTTAAGGTGTTGATTCGGTTATTTATCCTTTCAAAAGAGCTCTCATTGCTTCCGAAAGGTCTAATCAGCTACTGCATAGCTTTCTGTATATGTATATAGAATACTTCAATGGTAGGTATAATTCTCAGTTTTTTTGATACAGTGGGCAGAATTTCTGCAGTTTACGAAATTTTATAAGTTACACTGTTTTTTCCAACTCGTTATTTCATTATATATATATATATGACCACTTCGTACATAACTTTCTTTTGGAAACGTGTTGATGCCTGGTCTCAGTTGCAACAATAGACTGATTTGGCATTTGATAATCAACTTTTTGATTCTTGCTAAATTGAAAAAGACGTTACTTTTTGACAGTTCTATTTTGCAGCGGTAGAGTAGCGGAATTATGTGAGAAGATTAATGAACTGCATTCAAAAGAAATTGCGGCAGAAAAATATGCTCATGAATCAAAAATGGAGAATTCACCAGTGCTGGGATTAGAGCCACATGTTAACGGTACATTTGATGAAACAGATGATGAGGAAAAGTTAGTCTTTGTTACTGGTGTTACTGAAATTTTTTTGCCCCCTAATACGTTGACTTTTCTCGGTAAATCAAATCTTCCTAAAATTAACAAATTTAAATTTTGAAATTATAGTATATTGCAGTCAATGGACATAAAGAGTATTGTAATGCTTTGTTACAGACCAGATGAAGCAGTTGACACAAAAGGTTCTACCATCGATATTAACGAACTTAATAGTAAGCCTCGTAAAAGACGCGCTGCCGCTAATAAACGTGAGGGTGATTATGCTAATATGTTGAAACAAAATATTTCGTTTTACGAACCAAAGAAATGTGTGATTGATACACCGAAATCTCGAGAAAAGAAGGCCAAATTCTTGAAAAAGGAATCAGATGATGGTACTGATTCGGATAAGTAAGTGCTAGCAACATAACTACCGCCTTTCTTGCTCATTTAATTAACAAGCTTCTTATCAAATAATTCGGTTAAATTTTCTATCTGGCATAAAAAATTTGACTCTTAGAGTTACCAATTATCGCATGGTAAATAATGGTTTGAAGAGTGTTAAGTTTCGTATTACCTTTTTATGCCTAGAATAATTCATCATATAAGATTGCACTGAAAAGGTGGAATCCATGCAAGAAGTTCTAGTGTTTTCTATCTCCGTTACTAGCAAAATTACGAAGTATCGTTTTACAGAGATAAAAAGCCTGGATAGCATTTAAATATAAGCATAAAAGCTTAACAGTTTCTATTCATATTACAATTGTAGTATAGTTATTATATTTTAGTTCAAATGATGATTCAAAAGAGGGAAACGAAATTTCGCCATGGAAAATGTACAAGCATATCCAAATTAAACCTCAGCAAACTGATTTACCGAAGCCTAAAATTGCTCGCTCTGGTGGAGGTCGTAATGTCCATTTTACGGATGAATGGAAACAATATGCGACAACCGTTTATCCCATTGATCCAAGTCGTTATTGGAATCTACCGCAGGCTCAATATGATCTTCTCATACCGGTAAATAATACTGTGCAGAATTCTGAACTAGTCAAGATTCCAAAAGAAATCGAGGAAATATTTCCTAAAGAACCTTATAACAGTTTGGGAAGATTTTCACTGTTTACTGATTTAATATGCGAAACTGATTTTAAGCATTTGTGATAGTTGATTCAGAAAAATTTATTTTGTAAAGGGAATTAACAACGAAGCAGTAAAAATTATTTGGGATTTTATTACCATAAATTTTTTAAGCCTCAATTTTTTATCAAAAAGGTTTTACCAATTTTTTTTTATTATTTTCTTTCCTAGGACTCCGATTTGGAAATGTATGCAAAAAATCCTGATAAAACTGAGAAGGAACACTTTATTCGATCAATCTATGACTGGTTTCGAAGTCAGCATCGTGTTGCCCAATTGCGCGTGGTACTAAGTGAATGCAGTTCGGCGATCGACTTCAGTGATTTATGGGATGTGTATGTTAAAGAAATGAAACGACGAGGTTGGCCCGTTTATGGGAAAAGACTTCGGAAAGGTGAAGTGTCAACTGCGAAGCAACAAATTCTGGAGGATTTCATTGATTCTAATATTCAAATTTTTTGATGTGTTTCTTTTACGTTCTACAAGCTCACTTCTAATTCATAAATTTGATGTTGTTTGAATATGTATTTTTTCTTAATATTTTTTTCTTTTTTGCATTTCTCATTTATTACTAATAATTTTGATGTGTGGCAACATAAGGAAAACAAAATGTCGAAAATACGAGATATGAGTGTGAGTTACACTCATAAATGTATTTTCAAGGAATGGCGCAAACGTTACATCAGTTGTCTTTTGTTTGCAATCTTAATTAGACTAAAGGAAAATTTTGAAATGAAATTTTCGGAGAGATCAAATTTAATAATGTGGATTTTACTAGTGTCTAGAAGTTTCGTGAACTATTTTAGGTACCATGGATTTGTAAAGTGAAATTAAAATATAGTTCCATCGAAATTTTGCAGTGCGTGTAATAATAATTTACCAACTTGTTTTTAGTTCACGTTGACAGGAAACCAATTTTTCTTAGATGAACTCTATGTGCTGATTGAACTGCCGAACTTTTTTCTTATCGCGTCGTGAAATTTTTGTAGATCAAATTTTTCGGTTTTTCGCAACGGTCAGTGATTGTTGAATCATGTGCTGACACATTTTTGTTTTTGTTTTGTCCAGTTTTTTCATCATTGGGTGGACGATTATTTTATTTACCAGTACTTTGTTTTTTACTCCGTGGTTGTTTGATCACTTGAATTTTTCGTAATCCACTTGGAATTTTGAGTATTGCAGAAGTTCATAATAAAACTCTTATTTTATGGCTGGAAATTGTGTCTATTGCATAATTTCGAATAATTCGTTCAGAACTGCAGGATAATTTTGGTCTAAATTCTAAGCTCTGGTCAAACTGCGCTCGAATTTTTTTCCATAGAAATCAACGTCATATAGGTATTGGCTCTTCAAACGTGCCTATTTTTAAATTATTCCTTCCAATCTTTTTTAGATGTGCTTTTTTTCAACTCTTTAATCCATAGAAAACTTTCTATGTTTGGATGAATAATTCGTAATATACAAATGTTAATAAACATCCCATTTAGATTTTGGGCGATATAATTCTGGTATGAAATCTAAAACGATCAATATAAATACGAACAGTATCGACGAATGACTTATAAGTTGGACTGAATTATGAAAGTTGCGTTGACGAACTTTCTTTGATAGGAAAAATACGTACACGTGCGACGGATAAGTTTAATAACCAATAATCATGAAAACATGATTTGGATGCAACATGAGTAAAAGACAAAAGCATGATTAGATTAAAGATAAAAAGTACAATTAAGGATGCAAAATATGAGCTCATATAAACTACTAGTTCATCCTTCCCGTAGAGTCAAGGGATCAAGTTTTAAATAAAATAGGGTCAGATTTATTCGAGGTGTATCGTACTATTCAGTTAGGGGGTTAATAACTTATTCGCATCTTATTCATAAGAACAAGTCAACATAAATATTTTTCACGGAGCATAAGCAAACACATTGATTGTAAAAGAGTTAATAGCCGAAAAGAAAGCGAGAAAAAAGCGATTGAACTTAGTATTAGGCAACTTTCAAAAGACCAAAAAGGGCAGTGAGGAGAATAAGATGGAAAAATATTTTTAAACAGAAAATACTCGATATAAATTTACATATATATATATACGTAAATCTTGACGTATTTTTAATTAATAACTTTTCTCTTAATTTCTTGATGATATGAAAAGGATTGAGGGCTATATCCATTAGCCCCTTAAAACTTATTAAACTTGCCGTGACATTTTTCCTATTAATTTGATCGAAATGCCAAAAATTCCTTTTTCACCCGAAATTTGCCATCTTCCAAAATATTAGCTGATGAAAAAAGTGTGCATTGGATAGATGCACACTTCTCCGAAAAAAGAAGAAAAAAAGATCATCAAGCAGGACGTTGATAAAGCTTGAAAGAATTGCGATTCGAGATAATTTTACTCTGTTTCCACCTGTTTGATTATTTCATCCAATTCTTCATCAGCACTTGCATCCTATAATGTTGATAAAATGAAGGATAAGTAATTAAGTAATTCTAAAAGAAGTAATTAAGCAATTCTATCCGTAATCAAAATCCCATAACATTTTTTTTTCTCCTCCTAATTTATTGGAATCTTTTATAAATGTTTATTGACATAATTAATTCAGTCTATAAATCTTCATAATAGAAGAATCAAGAAAATACGAACCTGATATTGTTGATACTCAGAAACCAAATCATTCATGTTGCTTTCTGCTTCCGTAAATTCCATTTCATCCATACCTTCACCTGTGTACCAATGAAGAAATGCCTTTCGTCGAAACATCGCTAAAACATTTCGTTATAATATAACGATCAAACTCTGTTAATGCTCTATTTTTTAATTTTACTAATGTAGGATTATTTAGTGGCAGTCAGTTCTACAGTTATGTTGAAATAATTCATTATAATAATAAAACAATTCAGAATATTTCGTACTATTCTATCCGATAAATTTTATGAAAATAAACCGGTAAATTGCTCCGAAACACGTTTGAAAAGTTCTTGAATTGCCGTCGAATTGCCAATGAATGTGGCAGCCATTTTCAGTCCACGTGGCGGTATATCACACACTGCTGTTTTCACATTATTTGGAATCCAATCGACGAAATATGCAGAATTCTTGTTTTGCACATTCAACATTTGTTCATCAACATCCTGAAATGAATATAGAACTCTCACTCACATGTGCAAATATATTTTCGACTTCGACAAATACCTTGATAAGTTAAACAGTAACTATCTGACGAATGTTTTAGATGCATGTGTTATTAAGAATAAGCAATCCTCACTTTCATGTAATAATTTACTTCTTGCCCGCGAAATAGTTGGCTCTGACAGGATTGCAACACAACGCAAGCGCTACTTCTACACTTTTAATTTCATTCTCATCGTCATCATTAACGCATAAGTTGAAATAGTTAACATTTGACATTTATAACATGGATTTTAAGCTAAGACATATTTTACCCAGATATATTTGTATGGAGGTAAAATTAATTTGAAAGAAATGAATTGTTCGAAATTCCAGATGATTTTTTTAAAGAGACAATCTAAATAATAGTCTAAAGCAATCCAAATATCTTGGCCACTTATTTTACTGATGATATGAAGCAAAGTAACATAATTTTTACAAAATATATCATGAGTTTTGAACTTGAAAGTCCTAAAGAAAAAAGAAGTAAAAAAGTGGAAACCTTCATTGACATTCTTCCACGAAAGATTGCAGCAGCTGTAAGATAACGTCCATGTCGCGGATCACAAGCGGCCATCATATTTTTAGCATCAAATAATTGTTGAGTTAATTCAGCTACAGTAATAGCACGATATTGCTGACTGCCTACAAATTGAATAGTTTACTACCGGTATTAATATCGATTTAATGATGATTTTGCGAAATGTAGGAGCAATGAGGAAGCATGTTAGTCCAAATTTGTTCCATAAATTAGCTCCAATCAATTTAATGGAATATTAATTGGAACCAAGTTAAAGGAGCTTAATTTAAAACAGCATGCTTTATCATTAGCATATCACTAACCTAATAGATTTAATAATATATAAGCTAATCATTTTCTTATGTCATTTTTTGATGAATAAAAAAAGTAAAATAAGGAAGGGAAAGAAACTTCGAGAAGTAAGTGGCGCAAAACCGGGCATGAAAAAGTGCAATCGTGGAAATGGAACCATATTAACGGCTAGTTTACGCAAATCAGCATTTAACTGAAATATTTCGGATTGATATGATAAGAAAAATGGCACGATTTCTTTAAAAATATGATTTAAATGAAATTAAAAATTAAAAGGAAATATTTTGTTAAGCGTTAAATATTGCTTGTATCAAATTTCAACAGTAATTTAACGAGAAATATCGGTAAGTTTTTTAGGGCAGAATAAAGCAGTTATATGTATCAATAAAATTAATAATGTTTTTACCTTACATTTATCAATTTTGACATTAAACATTTGCTTGCATAAAACTGATAATGCTGGCATTAATATGCTAATTAATAATTTTAAATTCAAGAAAGTGTATTGATTTCAATAAAATTGAAATTATTAAAATTGCTTCAAAAGATGATGAAAGAATGATAAACACTGGCCATAGGTTAAGTCATTTTAGCCCTTCATAAAGTATCATTTTACTGTATCAATCGGTTACGTAATATAAAATAATAAAAAAAGAGCAGAAACAAACTTGTCCAGGAAATCTTAGACATGTCGTGACACCGCTCATTGTTGCACTAACCAAATGATTTAAATCGCCGTATGTTGGTGTTGTTAGTTTCAACGTTCTAGAATTTTTCAAACATAAATTAGGATAATATGATCATTTCCTAGTTTACGCAGAACATGAAAATGCGAGAGTAGATGATATTTCAAGTCAAAATACGTGAAAAAAAGCAACAATAAAAGAAACATTTCTTAATGAAAGATTCTCCATCTTTTTCTTTCATCGCTATCAATTAGTAAGCAATTTACATATTTATACTTTACGAGTTAAACCTAAGTTACTACTAAATTACATCACTGTTTAACAGAATGAGACCTGAAACAGATATCGTACAATGCTTCATTGTCGATACAAAATGTTTCATCGGTATTTTCAACCAATTGATGAACCGATAATGTGGCATTGTATGGTTCTACTACAGTATCCGACACCTGAAATTGTTGCAAAAAAAGGAATAAAAAAGAAAAAAATCTTTAAAATATTATATTGACTTTTCTCTACTTCCTATAACATCAGATATAATATTTTACTATCATTCTGCAATTTATTTTTTCTTTTCATTTCATTTAATCGGATCGATAATATTTTTCATTTAATCCAATACTAATGCTTCTTGATAATTTTAAATAGTCAGAACTCATTTTTTTATTTTAATAATAACATTAAAGTCTGCTCTAATTTTTTTATTAAATTGCATGTCATATTTAACCTTAGAATTATCTCTCAACAAGTTCAACATGCAATAAAATTATCGAAA